CCTTCAACACAAGGCCGTGGTAATACAAAGTCAATAAATTAACCTCTCATGAAAAATGTACTGCCTCAACACTTAAGTTCTATACTAGCAGCAATAGCTTGACAAACATTTCAAAATGGCTTTGGACCAAAGCATTAGGTTACTGGACACATCTGTAACAGTATATATGTTTTAGTGAATCTGTATCCATGATCTACAAACACAGGGTACTTGTATAACTGTGACCATTTCCAATCTTTAACTCACTGGTTCTCTTCAATAAGAATGCCTCTTGTGAAACTTTCATATACATGTACTCCCAACTCTAGAATACGTGGTTATCTAGCTGTTTATAGAGAACAACTTGATTCAGTAACGACATCCTTAAGCCAAAATGGCTGCGGTGAAAGATTGAAAACCAATTGAATAAATGTAACCCTGAATAGCTACCACTTTTATTGATCAAATAGCCTTACCTGAAAAGGTTCTCTTGAGTCCTATACACAGTCATTTCACAGCTATTTATAGTCTATAGACCCCAGCAATGAAACCAATGTTTGCCTTTTGCAATTTCTGTTTATGTATTATAATGCAGCACATAAGATAGCAAGTTTGATAGCTTATATTGGGTAATAAAATAATACAAAGATGAAGTTATAAATATTTAACACAATTAATTAAATATGTACATATAGAGGTGTAGCAATTCTGGGGGAGAAAACACCAAGTTTGGCCGGGATTTGAACCTGGGACTCTCGCAAACCATGCAACTGCCCCCCAACTAATATAAGCTAATGAGCCCAGGCTACAATGGTATGAAAATTACCTTTACCTTTCAAAATTAAATTTAAAAAAATTAACAGTGGGTTTTCAGTTTAAAAACTTGCTGAAAATTAATCTAATCTAATTTTCTCAATCTGTTTTTTCATGCGAGAAGAAATTTATAATTTGAGACCATTGTGTCCTCCGACATGAACTTATTCATTGTCATGATTACAAGGTTGTCACATTTAGCAGCAATAAACACCTTTTTGTAAAAAGCTAAGACATTACAATTTGGTTCATTTGCCCTATGCTACTGAAGCATAAAATTTGGTAAAAATTTGTTCCTTTCTTTTGGTCAAATGTAGGTCTTTTACTTAGATATATATGTAAATATTTGATAATGTTAAAATTACACAGCTATCATTTGACTGAAAGAAATGCTATTTGATAGTTAGCACAATGTATGATAATGTAATTGATCATGTAAACTGTGACTTTAGTCAGGGCTTAATTAGCCAATTAACGTGTAAAATATCTCTATTTGCTAAAATGAACATTCTCAGCACAGGAAAATAATCTTCTTTGCCATTTCCCCTTGAAATCAATACAAATGTTAAACAGCCAATAAAGCTTTATATTTAAATGGACCATGGAAACAAAGTCCAGTGATATTTAAGATGGGGGTATAGGGAGGTTAAAGGAGAGAGGGGTCCAGTTCTAGCTACATTACTTCATTCCATATCCCAAGTACTAAACAACAGGGAAATCCTGGTTCAACCAGTGGATAAACACAAAGTCCCACTTGCCGAAAAAATAAAAATATCATATCTGTAAGCAGTCTGCTATATAGTCATCTTGCATGTTTACATGTCAAAATCTAGGTGAGTTATTCCTAGCAATAAAAATATTTAGATCAACAATAAGGTTTCTGATCAGACCAAGCTGCCTCTACACAAAAAGCGCTTTTGTTCTCTATTACAAGCCTCTTCTTAGATTTCCTTAATGATTCTGTTTACTTTTCAATTAGCCATGAAAATAGTCGAAAAGAAATCTGCTTGCTCATATTTACTTATGACTGTTCTTTGCGGCACCACTGGCTGCAAAGTGGCCCTCTTTGTATTTTTTCAATGTGGTAAACAAAACAGGTCAACCAGCCAATATCCATGCCAATTACAAAACAAACAGGCACAAGCATGTCTGTCCACAAATTATATTTTAAATAATGCAGCACTACAAGAACATAATTTTGTTCAAAGTTACATGCATTTAACACTAAAGGTAATACCAGGGTAATGTCATTAACAGTTAAGAGGAAGTCACGACTTTGGAAAAAATCATTTTCATCACAAAGATTATTCAGTCAATATGCTGATACCCACTTACTGTATACACTACTAAGTGCATGTACCTGTTTGACAGTTATGAGTACTTACATAATACAATCTTAATGAACATGGAACACATGAATTAAAAATACTTGCCTCTGCTCTACACATTGGATAGAAATTTCATCTGACCTGCCAATTTCAGAAACAAGACGATTCCAAGAATATATATATTTTTACACATATTGCCAAGACTTGTCCCTTGTGAAAGGTCATACCACACAATTGAATAAGCAATTCAGGTCAGTCAGTTTAATATCTTAGTACACAATGTTATTAATCTTGGGTCTTATTGCTTTCATACAAAAGAGTAGTGTGTAGAGACTCAGAAGAATTAATAATGCTCTTATCACTTCAGGACCATATAGGACATGCATGTGTCTAGCTACCACAGATGGGAATAACTGACACAGCGAACACATTATTTCTATTGCTTAACTTTCATAGGCTGGGTGGGACCATGAACACACATTTGTTTAGTTTAATCAAAATATTTTGACTAAATTAGCAATATGATTGACTAAAAAACAGTAAAATAATTCAGATTTTCTTTTAGTGTGTTTACATGCAAGTTATTCATCCACAGCATGCAAGCACTGTGTACAGGGACAGCAGTTAACATGGAAACCTTAAACTATGAAATTGCACTTTTTTTAAAATATAGCAAGCAAGAAGTTCTTTAATTAAAAAGTGTGTGTGTGTGTGTGTGTGAGTGTGTGTGTTCCAGTAGAAAAATGTATGCATGTGTGAGATTGTGCATGTGTGTACCTGTGTATGTTGCTCTAGTATAATTTAATAATTTAATCAAATCTTATAATGGATTGAAATGTAATAATATTGCACTTAGATAGTTGTTCTAGATAGCATTATTTTTACATAAACCTTGACCAGGAGAGCCAGGATATCCTGGACATCAATGGCCAAAATTAAGAAATTTAATAATGCTCAGGTAGTTATTTGTAAAGCATTTCTGTTTTATTCATGTGACATAATCCCTCTACTTGGGAAAACAACAAAACCTATTGAATAGGAGACAGAACAAACACAGTGCAAATTTGATGACTTAAAATTAGAAAGGTGTATGCATTCCAAATATTTGTTCAGTTGGATTTGAAAATGTAGTACAGAGACACAATACTTAGAAGTGTGACCCAACCTGGTGACATATTACCTCCATCAGATCGTGTAATATGGAAACAACTTGAAAAATATTAAGTATGTGATAAGTCACACAATTTAGATGGTTATAAAAAGAAAAACATATAGGGAATGGAACATATTATGAACACCTTTATAAACGGGCAATATGCCATATTTCACATGCATATGCTCACAGGGGGTAAATTTATTCCAATTTACTGTGGTATGTGCAGTGTATTACTATGAAGAACAAGCTGGGTTGGTAATTTCTTGTAAATTGCCACAGCTAATCTCATTAAGCTGTTTAATAATTAAAAGAGAATTCTGGCTATTTTCACAAATTTATCATCATTTAATGAAACCTACGAGAGAGAGAGAGAGAGAGAGAAAAAGAGAGAGAGAGAAAGAAAGAGAGAGAGATAAATGGATTAATTGATTTCTGAGTTGCTTTAGACAAAAAAAAGTTAACCTGGAAGCTAGCTAGGCTACACATACACCAGAGACACTACCGTTTTTTTTTTTTTTTTTTTTTTTTTTTTGTGAAACCTTTTTTTTCATCCACGCCCCAGGTAGAATTCCTGTAATATAGACTTCATTTACACAAAACACCACTTATGATTATTACATTAAGCCACTTGTGCACAATGATTAATTGAAAAAAGCGTATTGATACCTATAGTTTACTGAGTGTTGAACCATGTTCTACGTACTTTGAAAGATCTGACTTGTTAAATATATTCACGTAGGTTATTTGTTTTAAAATGTTTAATCATTTTATGTCTCTTTGTATGTTACTCTTTGTTCAATTTAATTCCATCAATGGCAGATCAATTAAGGAGGTGGGGCAAAGTGGATTAATTGTGTGCCTTTACTCCTATAGTTTATGGGATACCCCTTAATTCTCCTGCCCCAATCAGGGGCAGATCCAGATATATTTTCTGACAGTCTTCCACATTATCTTTGTTGATCCATCCTCTATTTTTTGACCGTCTTCCGACAGAAAAACTAGGTACTCATCAATGTAAACTTAGAAATTTGACCGTCTTCCGGAAGACCCAGAAGACAGCCTCAATCCGCCCCTGCCAATCTCTTAAAAAATAACTAAAAATAAAAACCTGTGAAATGAGACAAAACCAAGCCAGTTATCCATCCACATGCTTCACATATAACAGAAACACCTTCACTGTTATTTTATGTAAGTGCCCAATTAATTGTTTCACGCGACAAAAATAAAGTTTAAAAATAAATGTAAAATAAAGTTCATGCACTTAATTCACATCCTTTGAAGGGTTAATAACTAGAACTAATTGTTCACTTTTGTCATTTGTAATAGATGTTGTAAAAATACACACGTGAAAGGCTTTTATTTGGCGTTGGCCTAAGGGCGAAGTAGGTTGAAGACCGATCCTTATCAGTCCGATCTGTGATAGCCCCCTCAAGCCAATATATGGTGCGACGCGGACATCTCCACTGATAGACCTTGTGGCGGTTTTTAGACCTTTAAAACACTTAGCACTTGACCGTCAGAGACAAATCGTGGCCAAAACACCTGTCCCAGCGGCGTATCTGTAGCTGAGGATGATGTTATCTTCTTACAATAACCGGCAAATTAATAAAAACTAAACAGAAAACAATTAGACGACAGTTAACTCCGTGCTTAGCGTGATATACTGCGAATGCGAAATCACAAAAACAACAGGGCTGAAAATATGTTCAGAGAAAAAGAAATACCTGTTTTAGTGCTATCTCTCATGCTAATGTCCCCTTCTTGTCAGCAGTACAGCTAGGAAAGTGGTCTTGATTACATTGCACAGCACTTGCCGGGGTCTTTACTCGCAGTGAAACGTTCTTGAGCTACCATGCGACGTTACGTTGTTTATATCAGTTACCTATTGGAAGGTAGTAACGCGTGAAAATATTTAAGGAGTATCTAATTTTATTTTATTACAATTTACTGGATATTTCCGTCAACAGTAACCTTACTTATATACTTTAAGCAAACTGCAATATATACCATAAATATGATCATAATAAATGGATGTCAAAATTTGATTTAAATGCATCTACATGTACATGCTGTGCATACAGTTACAATTTTTGGCACTTTTAAGATCTACATCCCCCAACAACACTCTTATCATATTTATTCCATAAAGGTTTTGAATGATTTTTTTTCCTTTAAAATGCTTGAAAATATCCACATGGCTCCCCACAGGCAGTACTTGTTTATATTACAGAAAAAAAAACATTGGTTGAAAGCATATTGCAATAATTGTTATCATTTCTAAAAAGCAATTAGAGGGTTTAATAAATCGCCTACTAACCACGCAATTTTACCGAGCTGATTAAGCTACGCGCGTTAGTGCTTATTAAGAATGTCTGCGCCCATTTCAAATAGTTTGAATCAGGAAGCTTTACATGTTTCTTTTCTTTTTGAAGCGTTTATGTGAATGCTGTATCCATTTGGCCTTTTGTGATGTGTGTAAGTGAACAAGGCACTGTTTCCTGCAACTAAAGCTTATGATGTATGACGAAGAAGCTTCCTCGAGTGATTTGGAAGGTAAATAAGTCAACTTCAGTAATTTATATTGTTGATAACATCCAACCAGCAAATTCTTGCTGCCATTTTTTGTCACTGTTTGTTAACTTATTGATCAAAGTGCTTGAGAGTTTACTATTAAAACACAATTAGTTAGTAAAATTCTAGATTAATTGATTTGAATAGCAGAGACATTCATTGAGGGGGAGAGGTAATGCAAAGGTGTTATTTATTTATTTATTTATTTATTTTTTATTTCAGAATATCCTGGAAAAACAAGTTATTCCAGAAGCCATGATCTTTTTGAATCTAGCCAGAGAGACAGCACCCAAAGTGAGACAGAGCAGTCCTATAAGTAATACATCTTGTTTTTGTCACATGGAAGAGAACCAAACTGGAGAATAGTTGAAATATTTCAGTAGCTGTTTAATTATACTCCCAGGTGTAGCAACAGTTTTGTGTAAAGAATGGCCTAAGTCTGTGAGTTTCTTTTTGTATGCCAATATTTTGGTGTCCATCAAGTTGTCTTCCTAAGAAAGTGAGACTGGAGTTATTCTTGCCTCTGCCTGATGTATACAGACCCCTCCCCCTCTAGCTACTTCTGCAAAAACTGTAGAACTACCAACGTAGGGCATTTATATGGTCATAAGTCAGTTGCTCGCCTTTAGATCAGTAGAAGTATGCCTAATAATCCAGTCATTATGTAGATAAAGGATACTAACAGACCAACTTTGACAAGTTTTAAAATAATGATAAAAGATCCTCTTCTGATTTTACTTTGCTTCATTGTCATTTATGTTTGCATATTAGAATTTACAAAATAAAAATCTGCTCATGTTTTCTTGCTAATGCCCTTCAAAATTTTTCTTATGGCTCTAAAGAATTCTGAAATATGTTTAATGTTTTTATCCCTCTTGTCAGATGTAATAATTTTTTGTGAACTCTTTATTACATTTCCAGCACTGCACCTTCCAAACGGTTACCAAGAGAGTCTAGAAGGCACAGACGCCACTTTGACAACGTTGACATGATGATGTCACAGCAAAGCGGAGCCTTACCAGCAGACGTCCAGGAAGTATACGCAGAGCTACAGGCCCTCGCTAACAAATTGAGGGTAAATTGAAAGCAGTGTAATATAAAATAAAGAGCACAGATGCTTGCATGAAATCAAATGTCTTGGTCTTTGCGTCAGAAAAGTGTAGTGTTCAAAATGTCATGAAGTCCCTTGTATGGTGAAAAATCAGCTGGGAAACGGTATGCCTCTTTTTAATGAAAAAATATATAACATTATTTGCCTATTTATTTCAAACGGCAAATATTTGCAAATTATATCATCTTCAACTTGTGCATTTAAAACAGAACCAATAATGTATGCCAAATCTCGTCTTGTTTTCACAGAATGAACACAAAATTCTACAAGAGCGAGAAATTATCTTAAGAGAAAGGGAGCGTCTTGTTGTCCGTTCACATGCCAACGTGAAGACATACGCCCAGGAGGAGGTGAATAAGAAATGGGCTGTCATAGAAGAGGTATTGCTTGATAAATAGATAAATAAATATATTTTTTGTTTTATATAAATGCCACAGATTTTAGGTGTAAGTTGTTGCGTGTTTGTCTGCTGTGTACTATTGAGAGAGAACGACAGACTAAGTGTGTATTCTCAAATTTATATCTTTTGCCTATCAGCCTGTCAGGATATTATTTTTTATACAAATTGAATCTTTTTTCCTGTTGATATCTTTCAGGAACATATAGCAGAAATATCAAAAATGGAACAAATATTAAGGGAAAAATCCAAGGAGAACAAGAGGTTAAAGGATAACTTTGAAACCATTAAACAAGCTAATGATTCCTTGAAGAAAGAGGTATCATCTTTTTTGTGTATTTTTATATAGTATATTGATAATTCCTTTTTTTTATATTTTCCCCTCTTTTCTTTTTTTTTCTGTCTTTTTAATATGTCTTTTAAAATATACTAAATTGAGCTATAAAAGTTTTCCACTGAAACTTTACAATTTTTATACCTTGCCAACTTTGAAATGGAAAGTTGTTTTGCAGTTCTAAATGTTTAACGTGTGCCACAACGTTAAATTTTTGGACTTTTTTCATTTAATCAGGTGTATATATAAGATATATAAGTGGGAACTAAATAAGATTATTGATTTCAATGACTACTAAGTACTATATTTTAAATATGACTATAAATATTTCAGCTGGAAGGACTACAAGAGCAACACGAAAAGTTAGAAAAACAGACCGCTAGTTTGCAGGCCAGACTGGCAAATTTACAGGTAAGTGTTGGACCCTGTGTTACAATCTCCAGGATTCTGCTGTCTTACTATTGCACGTGACTGGTCAGATGAAGAAAGTGAACAATTATTGCCTCTTTTTTGTTCTTTAAAAAGTTCCTCCAATACATCTGGTCCCAGTTTCACAAAAAAACTTAAGTCAGTTCCCTGACTTAGCTGACTAGGATCTCCATGAGAGTGCTGTAACACTGCACCTGATAGGATGAGATGTGACCATGTAACCTTGGTAATTAAGTTCTTAGCCAGAGAACCTGACTTAAGTTTTTTTGTGAAACAGGGACCTGCTTTGATTAATGTGCCAACACCTGTCCAAGGAATCCTGAAGCAATCTACCGTGTACCTTAACACACTAGTAGCAGCAAATAATTGAGGCCAAATACTTGGTATATTTTAACTGATTTTGGTCACAACTTTGATAATTTTCAATTTATGTTCAGTTTTAGTTGTTTTTAGGAGTAATAGGAGACTTAAAAGTGTAACATGTTCGATACACTGTGTCCATATCTTTAAATAAAAAGTTGTGTGTGGATTACCAACAATTAAACACGAGTACTAAACTATTGCCACTTTCTGCTTTTTATGTATGATCATATATAGATAGACATGGTAGACATGGTGTAACCTTTTATAAAGTCTTTTGATACTTGCTCTCATTTCAGAGAAAACAGGAATTTGTTGGACGACAAACGGTCGAAAATATTCCACCCACCACTATCAGATCCAAGCCACCAAGTGCTGTAGAGGCCAAAGATGGCAAACATTTGCTTCCAAAACCTAAGGTACAAGTCTGAGTGGACTTTAACTATACCTATAAAGTACACAATCATATGCTGTATATCATCATACATTAGGCTTTAGCTTGATGAAGAATAGCTAGAGGCCACTGTGAATAACATACTGGATTTGCTACATCCCAGTGCATTTCTGAAATGAATTTATTTATATGTAAGCAAAGTGGTGAATTTAAGACAGCACTTAGGATATACAAAGGGAATTAGGTTAATAATGAATTTGAATGCAAAACAGTTTTATGAAATATAAGATAATAAGATCACATCTGAAGATGATTGATAAAGCTTAGAACTGAATTTCGTCACAGCTAGTCGACGTGTGTAAAACAAATCCATGCTCTTGCCATAGCAAAAATGCATCAGTATTGTCTTCTTGTTTGAAAGCTAGTTTACCTAATACATTATGTAGTTTCTTTTCCTTTATCATAGCTCCCTTCCAGCATGCACGATGTGACCTCTCTTTTATTGGATTGGGTTTCTGAGGTTCATCTGAGACATACAGCTCTAGGGCAGCCAACAGCTGAGAGCCAACTCCCTTCCATACAAGACACACAGGAAAAGTGTTTTAAGGTACTCTGTTCAGGGGGAGAATTTTTGAAAGTTCAGCGTCTCCAATCTATTCGTCAGCAGATTAAAAAAAAAAAAGATTAATTAGCCCATTCTTATCGATGGAATTTTTTTAGTACTCTTTATTATATACTGCAATAGCTATAGCATAACACATAAAGGAGAATGAATTCACATATTTTTAATTACTCAGTTTCATACCAAATTGAAATTAACATTTTCTCAGTTATATTATTTGAACTTAAATCTTTAAGGTTCGAAGAGAAAGGTGCAGAGGCATTGCAGTTAAAAATATCAGGAGGAATTTTATAATGGTCCCTTAGTTCAAAGAAGAAAAATCATTGGTTTTCTAGTCTTCTAGATCAGCCAGCCCCTCATACCCCCTTTGGTGATGAGGACGTTTTATTTCCCTAGGTTCTCCCTTCCTTGGTTGAAATTTTGCGGGATTTGCCTGCGAGCAATGCTAGAGTGACATTACCTTGCCTACAGTTTATTTACTGGTCTTTGCTGCATTTGGACAAGGCCCAAAGTCAACAGGTACTGCAGTATGACTGAACTATTTCTGTTTCTTTTATTTTTATTCAGTGGCTAAGTTGTGGAAATGTTGCTTAGTTCCAAGCCATTTGTCAGGAATTTTAAGGTTTTTGTTTTGTTTTGTTTTAAAATACTATATTTAAATATTCTGTCATATGAAACAGATGTGTATAGTATCAATACAGTCTTGTGCAAAGTTGAGTATAAATATTTGTTCAAATCTTTTCATTCATTCATTCATTCATTCATTCATTCATTCCTTTTTAAATGTCTGTATTTATTCATTCAGAAATCCAACCTGTCCTCAACATTAAGAAGAGTTGGAGAAGAACTGTACCGGCCAAAGTCAACAAGGCTTGGCTCCAGTGGAGAGCTGTCCTCTGAGAGGCCCCTGTCGCCAGTGAAGGCCGACAAAACCAAAGATTTGGTATTTTTCAGAAGTACCAGTCTCCATGTACGACTGCTGTCATGTCTGATAATTTTGAAGACCCTGTCACAAGGTTAGAGCTCAATTGTTTTTTTTAGGCCCATTGTGGCATTTCAGTGATATAATTGTCAGGCCTGTAGCCAGTAATTTCAAAGGGGGTAGGGGGTCTTTTTTTTTTTTTTTTATGTACAGACACAGATGTGTCTGTACATATAGCCGTCATCTGCGTCTGTCGTCGCCGTCGCCGTCGTCGCCGTGCACTTTTACCGATAACACGATAAGTGGAAAAATATTTTTTCTTTTGGCTTGAAACTTACAGAACTGATGAATATTCATAATACGCAGGTCAAGTTCGAAAATCAGCATGATCGGGTCACTTATAGGGAATTTATGCTGTTTTTTCACTTTTTTCAGCATATATGCAGCACCGATAACACCATAAATGGAAAACCATTTTACCTTTTGGCTTGAAACTTACAGAACTGATGAATATTCATAATACGCAGGTCAAGTTTGAAAATCAGCATGATTGGGTCATTTTTACTGAATTTAGGCTATTTTTTCACTTTTTTTCAGCATTTTTGCAACACCGATAACACAATAAATGAAAAGCTGTTTTACCCTTTGGCTTGAAACTTACAGAACTGATAAATATTCATAATACACAGGTCGAGTTTGAAAATCAGCATGATTGGACCACTTTTATGGAAGTTAAGCTGTTTTTTTCACTTTTTTCAGCATATATGCAACACTGATAACACGATAAGTGAAAAACAGATAGGCCAATTGTCATAATACTCATAGGAGTGGCCAATCTTATTAAAATGAAGGTTGAGTTGGAAAATCAGCATAATCGGTCCATTATTTTAGAAGTTATGCTGTTTTTTCACATTTCCTCACATTCAATTCTTAGGCATGTTAACAGTCTCATTATTTAACTAATAAGATACGTAAAAGTGTTTGTTTGGCATTTCCTGCATCTTTACAACATTGTTAGTTGATTTTGTAAAAATGATAGTAAACCTGTTATCGTGTATTGTGTAATAAAGTGTCAAAAATGGAAATAAACACATATCATTGCAGTTTGTCAGATTCAATCATCCACTATGTTCAGAATCTCATAATGGAGGAAATTGGACATATAACACTGTCTTATTGATATTTTCCCATCTCATCAATTTTCTTAGTTGGTCATATAAAAATGGCACTGTTTATTTTGTTTTATGTTTAAAAAGTCTTAAAAATGGTAATAAACCCATTTCAGAACAGTGCTGTCTTGTTTCACTTTTTTCAGCATTTATGTAGCACCGATAACATGATAAGTAAAATACCGTTTTACTTTTTGGCTTGAAACTTTTTGGCTTGAAACCCATTTCAGAACAGTGCTGTCTTGTTTCACTTTTTTCAGCATTTATGTAGCACCGATAACATGATAAGTAAAATACCGTTTTACTTTTTCAGACTTTACGAAAGGCCAAAAAATCTGTCAGACATTCGGTCTGACAAGCTTGAAAATTCTGTCAGACCGAAACAAAATCTGTCAGACCGAAGTAAAATAATAGAAATATGAACCATTATTCATGTTTTCATGTGTATTTTCTAATGTTTTAAATCATTGACATTAAATCAAATATTAAATTTTTGATATATATTTATCTATAAAAAAGTAAAATAAGAAAGAAAAACAAAAAAACAAACAAACAAACAAAAAAAAAATAGACAAAAAATTACTTGCATAACAAGTTGTTTTTTATTTACTGAAAAAGACATTGTGGAATGACACAAGGACTAAAAACAATACAAGTATGAAGAATGTGTAGCTAGTAATATCAAAAGTATGTCCATAAAAACGTCTGTTAATCAGATAACCATTTCACACATTGTTTTTGGCAATAACATATGCACTTTGAAACAGCACAGTAAGGCAGTCTCTTTCATCCAACTGAAGCTTTGACAGGGACTGTCCAGCCCAAGTATAAGTTCCTTCTTCATTTTATTTCTTTTTTTTTTTATAAAAAGAAACTCAAACTGTGAGCTTTTCTCAAGTTCATGTGCACTTTCTCCAACTCGTGGTGAACGGTGCATGCAAATACGTACATATGTTCCATAATTTAAGAACCCGTAATAAAGCTGTAACATTTATGTTGATATTGATCAAAATGATAACTTTAGTACTCCTGACACTCGGCACACAATTTTCCTCTCCTACACAGATCATAAGTCCGCCAGGGCCTACCTTCTTTCCAATTTTAGTAGCCTAAACTTCCTTTTCTCTTCCTCACTTCGTTTTCATATTTGCCACGCTTTGCACCAACGAAGTGTTTAAAGTTCAACAACGTCATTTTCTAAACAAAAGGCTTATCCATGAGTACTATGTACGACTGATAATGAAGAAACAGAGGATCAAGTCTGTAAAAACGCAAAATAGCACGAGCACATGTGTTGCGGCCATTTTGTCATGTAGGGGTATTACAAAAACGAAAACGAGACTGTACATTACATCATCCAGGAATCCCCCCCAACCTCAGCCAGTCACAAAAAATAGTATTTGTGAGTGAAACTGAGGTTAATAAATTATGTATAATTAGCTGGGAACTCCCCGAGATTTTCACCCCGTCTTTCTTTTCGAATGAAGTAAAATATATCGTCTAGAAAAGAAACAACAACGTATTCCTTATATTTACACATTTTGAAAACTCGCCGGACATAAGGTCCGACGATACAGGATTTTTTATCGGACCGAGACGAAATTTGCCAGGCATGTCCGACGGTCCGACGCCTTTCGTAAAGTCTGCTTTTTGGCTTGAAACTTACAGAACTGATTAATATTTATAATACGCAGGTTAAGTTTGAAATTCAGCATGATCCGTGTCCGGAACCGCGCAAATTTTGTAATGGCAAAGTTGAAAAGTTTAATCAATGTTTCAAAGGATTATTGGCCCGCCTTGTTAACAACAATACTCGCACATGGGAAGAGCAGATAGCTAATGCTTTGTTTGCTTACAGGAATAGTGTTTCCTCAGTGACCGGGTACACACCATTTTTCCTAGTTTATGGCAGGAACCCTAGAATGCCACTGTCGACGTTGGTAGGTGCATCAAATAACCATCATCCTTTGAAAGGTCGGCTTAGTGATCTGTCTGACGCTCTAACGGCAGCCCGAGATAATCTTCAGGCAGCTAGATTAGAGAACAAAAGACGTTTCGACGCTAAGGCGAACGCTAACAAAATTGAGGTAGGTGATTCAGTTATTGTTTTCGCACCTGATAACGTGACTTTTGGATCAAAATGGGACCCAGTCTGGACAGTGACCAGACAAAGAGGGAACGTCTTCTGGGTAAGTCATCAGCAAACAGGTAAGTCGCGTGTAGTGAACAGGGACAAATTACGACTTGTGGACAGAGGATTAGCCTGGGATGAGATCAGACCACGTGCGCGTCGAGTTTTCAGGAGACGACCCAACCCAATAAGAGCTGAGTTGCAACTTGGTACCACACCAGTCAACGCCAACGCTCCAAGGGCAGAGGTCAACCAGCGCGCAGCGGTAAGTAACTCCAACGGGCGTAGCCAGGTAGCGGAGAGGATCGAATCCGAGATGCCGGTAAGTGTTGGAGGTGAGTCACAGGCAGCTTCACGCAGGCCAACATTGCATGCAAAACGTAAGCATAACACCATAACACGACACCACACGCCCACGCACTCACATAATACAAGGTTTAGGAAAAGATGTATCCAAGCAACGGAACAGGAAGATGCGCTGTTGTCGCAGATTGAAGGGGACGAACTAGACGGTCCCCAGCCTGTCAAGGCGTTAAGGATAACCGACAGTGGGTCGGGAGAGAATATGGAAGTGGACTCCATGCATAGATAGGAGCATGGGTAAGTAAAAATGGCGGTTTTAAGCATATTGCTTGGTATTTTAGCCCCAGGGTGAATTGGGGGTGGCAGCAGCTACCTGATGGCGTCCTAGTGACCCAGAGGCAGCTCTTTGGCGGTGACAAAGGCCGTATGGACGGTAGAAGTCACCAAGGAGAAACCGCTGGTAGTCTAAGAGGAGACTGGTAGTCTCAGGGTAGACTATGGATACGGATCGCCGTAGTAACACGGGATTACGTAGAACAGACTGAGGGAGGTGTACATAACCTCAGTGGACAGGGAACAAGGGCGAAAGGGATAACGGTTAACTTTAACCCTTTCTGCAGGTAAAATGACTCTCAAACGGCTGTACCAGCCTTGGCCAGGGCGGGTCCAGTCGGTTCGAGCGAAGGTGCACATTCGTCTCGGACAAAACTACGAGGGTTATTTGACTTTGTAGGATGGGCGGCTAATGTTCCTTTTGGTATCGGCATATTCTAAAGTGCTGACCAGTGTCGCCAGGTTGTTCAAGAACGACATGTTCATGATAATACTAGGGAGTTACCTAGTGAGGTGTTCTTTGTTTCTTTTTTT